TTTTTGGTTTGAAATTAGAAACGATCATCATCATCATCATTGAGAGAATTTATTTCTCAAAAATGAATAGAATGATGGAAGAGAATAAAGACAGTATAAAAGATAACCAATGGTCTATTTTGACCATTATTGTCGACTATTATTGTCTATTTTTGCCATTTGATACGGATATCTAATGAAAATGATTTTTCCCTCTTTTCTATTGTATAGTATCGATTTTGCTTGGTTTGGTTGATGAAAGAAGAAGAAGAGAGTTAATGTTTTGATGATGCCCGATCATATTATTGATGATAATGATTTCTTTTCACTGATGATGATCATTATTATCAATCTCCACTCATTGATTTCATTGAAAAAAAACAATATTCAATATTGTTGTAGTCGTAGTCGATTTATGTTTTATTTCATTTTTGTAATTTACAATATTCATTTTAAACAATATTAATAATAATAATAATAATAATTTGTATATAGATGATGAAAACCAAAAAAAAAACTAAAATAATGAATAATGAATAATAAAAAGAAAAAATAATAATAAGAAAATTATCATCAATTTTTCCCCACAGAGAATAGTTATTTGTTATACAATTTTGCTTTTTGGCCCACTATTCAAATGATAATTAACTATCATCCATTGTCATCATCATCATCATGATAATATTCGCATTTGGATCTGATCAGTCGTTTCGTTTATTGTTTTTTTTCGACGATAAATTTACGAAAAATGATTTGTGTTGGCGTGGGTGTATCGGGAAAATTAATCATCATCTCGGGTACATCTGCTCAATTGACCCCAGCCAATGATAATAATAATAATGATGATGATTGTCTGTGGAAAATTTTTTTTGTTATTTAAAAATCAATTAATCATTTGATGGTCTTAAATGAATTCAATATTGTATCATCATCATCATCATTGTCTTGTGTGCGCGCAGCATTTACATTATTCATTATTGGTCAGTGTCCACCACCATTATTTATCGTACAGCAAAACACGGGATCCCTGTAAATTGGCAAAAAAAAACAACAAAACAATAATTTCAACGGTGATGATGATTTTCATCACCATCACCGTTATCATCGTCATAAATTTTTTCCCAAATATTTTTTTTTGTTTTGTTCCGGATGAGAATGATGATAAAAAATTTCCAGTGATAATTTGATTGGAAATTTTTCATTTACAGAGATTTTTCTCCCTCTATCAATTCGAGTTTTTTTTCTTGTTTTGTGAATTGGAGGAACATTCATCGTCCATATTTTTTGTTTTGCCTGCTT